AAAATTTATTTTCTAACTATTTGCATAAAAAAATTTTCAATTGTATTAACTTATTTATTTTTAATTTCATGAACAAAAAATACAAATATTAATGTTATTACAAACTAAGTTAAATATCAGAAAAATATATCTTACTATCTTAATTTTTTATATAAACTTATAACCGACGGAAACCATCACTAACATAATCTAACATTTATTAAATTAACTTAACAGATATAGTACACGGGTGCTTTGCAAAAAATAAGCTTGCATTCTAATAATCTAAAAGAAATATAATTAATTAAATTAATCATTTTTAATTGCATAAGATATTTACTGTTAAAAACTAATCTAAAAGAAATATAGTTAATTAAAATAATAGTTTTAATATGACATTCTTATTTTAAGTTAAATATATAATTTTTTTTAAGACTTATCTAAAATAATAGTTTTTCTGTACAAAGTAAAATAATGTAAATCAATACTCTTTCTTAACACTAACATTTATTTAAAAAAAAATAGAATCATGAAGTTAGGTTTCCTCTCGTTACTAAAATAACTTACAATTATTAAATTAATCAAAACTGTTCTTTTGGATCTTTCTTTCTTACTTACGCACAATCATTCGTATTTGCTTGCTGACTATGGCAAGCCTTTTTTGTAAAAATTAATCTAAAAAACAAGTGCATACGCTTCACCAAGAATTGTTTTAAGTAAAAATAATAACTATTTTTAAATTACAGAAAATAAACTAATATTTCAGGAGATCATTCTTCTCTAAAATTGTTTTACTTATATATTTTAAAATACAAATTTTCAAATAATAAACACTTTTTAATGCTTTTACACCAAGTCGAAATCAAATATTACGTGTTTGTTTTTTAAACCAATCTCCACCATCTTTATTTTCCTTCTTAATTTTTATAAAACAGTCGGTCAAGGGAGAGACAAGGCTAAGCAATTTCCAATAAATATATCATAATCCATCTAACAAAAACAATATAACCATGGTGAAAATATATAAACGTGTCTCCCAAAATAAGCTCTCCGACCATACATTACCAACTTCAAATAATAAACAAAATATTTAACTCAGCAACCCCCTCAACGAACATACAAAAAGGCTCACAAAATTATTCAACAACAAAAATAATTAACAAACTACGAATACAAAATTTTCCTGTCAAAACACATGAACATTATATAAACTATAAACTCTACAAACTATTCAACAAAGATAAAATATAATTAAACAAAAAATAAAGAACTAACCTTCTCTTCTTCTCTGGAGAATAAGTGAAGAGCTAATGCGGTGCCTTCTCTCGGCCAGCACTCCCCGGCTTTTATAGCCATTTCTGATTATCTCCCCAACCCCCTCAATCACTCCACCGCACCGAATGCCACCAAACCAACCATCAACCACCCCACCGCACTGAATGCGCGGAATCAGTGCGTAATTTTCGGATCTGGTCGGGGAAACGACAAGTGCCAAGAAAAAAACAAAAGAATGCGCCACCTATATAGGCGCATTCTATGAATTACGCCAGAGGTTTCGGCGCATTCTTTAGAATGCGCGGAACAATTACGCGCATTCTAAAGAATACGCTAAACGATAATGCGTACTCTTTAGAATGCGCGCTATATTTAGGCGTATTCTTTAAATACGCCAAATTTTATGGCGTAGTGGCTGCTTCTCAAATTATTTTGAAACCACGCTGCTTCTCCTAATAACGGCATCAACCGTGCTGCTTCCGAAAATTTGGCCTAAAAATAGAGTTTTCAAAGACATCATTGCTCTACAGTTTAATCCAAATGGAAAAAAAGATCCTCAAAGAAAAAAGACCACACCAAGCGAATGGCAAAAAGATGCTCAAATATGATGCCTTCATAGATTACATTTCAAAGGAATTATGTCTCATAGATTTAATCTAAATGGCAAAAAAAGTTCCTCAGATTTCAAAAACCACACTAGGCCAATAAATTAAAAAAAATAAAATAAAATACTAATATAGACAATTTCAAAATTACAAAATTTTGCTAGACTCTAATACAAATGATGATCTTACAAGAGAATCAATTGATCACCTTATAACGCTACAATATTTGCAATAATTTAACTAAAATAAGCTGACAATATTTTTGTTTTCAAATAAGTCACAAATAACAAATTTTAACAAAATGATTTGAACAATTTTCAACAATGATTTTTAAAAATGCTAAATCGATGGATATAGGTATTGTAGCATTTTATAGTGATCAAATGAGTCATTTGCAAGATCACCATTTGGGTTAAAGTTTAGCAAAACTTGTGATTTTAAAATTGTCTAAATTAGTTTTTTTATTTTTATTTTTTCTAAGATTTCGGCTTATTTTGATTTTTGTTGTTATATTTTGATTTTAGGGTTCTACTTGCCTAGGAAAAAAGTATGAATGTTATATTGTTTTGAATTTTTAGAGAGATTGAAATCCTTGCTGGGGGTCAGCTAGTGTGGATGTAGGTTGGGGCCAAATCATGCAAACATCTTTGTGCCTGTTATCTCTCCTACTTTATTTTTACTTGCACATATTTATCTTAGTACTATGATAGATAGTGTAATCAATCTGATCATTATTATTTTCAGTATTGTGTGTGGTCAAGCTTTTATTGAATTCCTCATATCCTTTCTTCATATATTTTATATTTAATTAAAGTTTTTCAAAAAGCTCGATTCACCCCCTTCTTGGGAGCCATATTCACACCTCAAAAGAAAGTCTTCTGTCTTAATATCAAGTGTAATGCATTAGAATGCCGAAGATTGGCCGGTTATCCAGTTGCTTGTCTGATAAACATCTGACGCCAAATGGCATCATAGAGCCAGTTTTGGCTTGCCGTTACTGATTAGATTTCATACAGTCTCGGATTCATCTTGCCCTAATGATTTATTGGTTGTTTGATTTCTCAAATTTTATCAACCTCCCAAATGCTTCAAATATTTAGCTCCTTTTTTTTAACCAGCATCTTTTTGTAGGTTTTCACTGCTTTGGCCTTTGCTTTATTCTCACAACAGGGTATTGATGTTGCTGTTATTGAAGTAAGTGACTGTGTTCCTATCATATTTAAAACTTTTGCGTGTCTTCAAATATTTTTTTCCTTATGAAATAGTAGAATTCTTACGCTACTTCATATTTTCATTTCACTCAGCTTAAACTTGTTATTTTCACTAAAAGCAAAAGGGATATTATATTGTCTATAACTGTATTAGGCTGGCCTGGGAGGAGCAAGAGATGCTACAAATGTGTTATGCAGTACTGGGTTGGCTGCGTCTGTGATAACATCAATAGGTGAAGAACATTTGTCTGCATTGGGTGGCTCCTTGGAAAGTATTGCAATGGCGAAGTCTGGAATCATAAAGACAGGACGTCCAGTTAAGCCCTTCTAACTATCCATCTCATTTCCATTATACTAATATATTAAATTTTATAATTTGGTACTTTCAATTGATCGTGATCTGTTGTTTTCCTTTTAAAATGCTAGTTCCAGGTAAAATTTTAGTGTGTTGGAAGCATTATTGGTTTTCCATTAGTAAAATTCTAGTGATCTGGCCTTCATAAAAAGCCCATTTTGTTCAAGAAGATGTATCTTTTTCAAGTTAAATGATTTATGATTTTGGTCATATTTTTGGTTCTGAAGCAATGGCTGATCAAAATGATATCTTGATTCTTTTAAATGAAGATCCAATACCAGATTCTTCTATTAGTTCCTTCTTTGATATCCTTTTCTTTGCATGAATTAAAGATAGCTTGCAGTTGTAAACTTATTACATGTCAAGCATCAAACGCATGTCTTTAGTCATATTTATGTAATTGGCCCATATGCAGCTTCATTTAATGATCTGTCCCAATTCCCTTCAGCTATGAGAGTTCATATGGAATGTCAAGTGTTGGTAGTCTTAACTAATTTTAATTTCAATACTTCGTCAAAGTTGCCATGTTTGTTTGCTCTCCTTCATGCCCATATCATCATCCCTAACAGTTTCCTCCATCACTCACTTGCACGCTCGTATAGCTACACTCCCTACACATTGCTATGGATTGTCTTCCGCATTTCCACCTTCCTCACTTCACTCATGAGCATTGCTACCCTTGCGCCGCACAACAGTTCACTCACACTTCATGTGCCATTCTCCCCCCTGCAAATTTGCTTACTCAGCACCTTCGCTTGCATTGTTCGTTTCTCACCTATTACCTCACATGAACTCTGCTCGCCTTTCATTGCTATTCACACCCCAATCACGAGCCCAAATGCTAGTGCCAACCTTGCATCTTGCTCGTGATCTCACTCGCCCTGATAATGTTTGGCTCCCTTATAAGATACTTTTTTTCCCAAATGCCGTTGCCATGTCCCAAGTCCTGGATGAGAAAAGTGGAGGGTTGCGTTAGGTAGTCGACAATATATATATATGTTCAGGTCACCTGCATCATTGATTTGGTTGCTACTGTACTCTTTCATGACTACACTCGCTCTCTTGCAATTGTGCTCGCATGTAATTGCACAGGCTCGCTTGCTCTCCCATGACTTTGTTCGCTGACTCTCTTCTACGACTGCGCTTGCACACTCACTTAGTCTCCCATGCTCTTACTTTGCCACCCTGTTGTGCTGTGGTGCCCATGCCATAAGCTACATGTTGCCCATGCTCTCCCATGCACCTTCTTATTGTGTAGACTAGTTGTCTCACTTGACAATATGGGCAACCTGACTCTTCCTCATTTCTATACTCGTGCCTGCTACCATAGCCAGTGTTTGCGCCCAATCTTGTAGCCCACTCATGCTATATGAGGAATTGAGGCTTGAAACTCTCCCTTGATTTGAATTTCTCTTGGATTCTCGATGCATCTCTCCCCGCTTTGTGGTAGTTTCTATCTCTCCTCTTCATGAGACAAAATTATCCTCTATCATCAGCACTTTCATCAGATTTAATGGTGGTCATTGTCATAAAAGTCTCTTTATCCAGTATTTGTATTGCAACCACACTAATCAGCCTTTTGAATAATGCTAGGAAAAATATGATTGTCCTTCAACTGTTAAACATGTATCTACGTATAACTCTGGATTATTGCATTTTTTTACTTTATTAGTATCCCTTGAGTTGAACACGATCAACAACTTTAGCTGATGAAGATCTATTTTAATGTTTCTTTGACCATATCTTTTTTATTGTTGCCTATATTGGTGCAACCCGAATTTAGATTCAAGAAAAGCTTCTCACATGATCGATAATCAACAATATGTTCTTTGATATGCTGCAAATGAATGTTAGTAGCACCTCTTTTATGGCGACGTGAATGGATGATTTTATATGGAACAAACGTTCGATTAATGTTGCTTTGGGTGAAAAATGCATATGCTACTTAGGATGGTCATTATGGGCTCAAATAAAGTCCACAAATTTAGTTTAATAAACTATTTTTTTTTTTAGAAAGTTGGCCTTCTAAGTAGTGCTGCTTATCATTCTAACTTCATCAAACATACAATAAGCTTAGTTCTACTAGCCATTTATATTAATGATATATTATTCACTAGCAGTGATAAAGAAGATAACACTGTCGTTGTTAGGTCCCAAGTCTTTGAGGAGAAACGTAGACGGTTGCATTAGGTAGTCGACAACCAGCGTAAAACTTGTCGAATAACAATGATATGAATTCTTTAAGAAATTGTGTTAATGCTAGGGCGTCCCCTCGAAGCGATGCACTGTATGGCCTGAATATAGTGACAAGTGTGCAAGGGCCACTACACCGACACCCGGGTGCAGTGTTAAATAGGCAAGGTTCCCACATCAAAGACGGATGCGGGCAAAGAAACTAGTCCATGAAACTAAAATTAGGATAGAAACTTGGAATATAAGTTCTCTTACAGAAAAATTAATGGAATTAATAGATATTATGATTCATAGAAAGATAAATATTTTATGCATTCAAGAAACTAAATGGGTTGGAGAGAAGGTTAAGAAAATTGATAGTTTAGGATTTAAACTTTGGTATTCGGGTAAATAAGAAATCTTACTAGAAATAATGTAGGTGTTATTATAGATAAGAGTTTGAGGTATAATGTTATAAAAATTAATATAATTGGAGATGGAATTATAGCTTTAAAGATTGTTGTTGATGATAAGATTGTTAATATTATAAGTGTTTTTGCTCTTCAAGTAGGTTTGTATATGAGTTCTAAATTAAATTTTTGGAATGACTTAGAAGAATTATTACAAAAGTTATCTCTTGAAGAAAGAGTTTTTATTGGAGGAGATTTAAATGGACATATTGGTAGAGAGGTGGCTGATTTTAAAAGCATTCATGGTGGCCATGATTTTGGAACGACAAATGAAGGTGGCAAGACCATATTAGATTTTTGTTTAGCTTATGATTTTTCAATTGCTAATACCTTATTTAAGAAAAAGAATGAACATCTCATCACTTATAAAAATAGATATAGTACAACATAGATTAACTTTTTTCTTATAAGAAAATTAGATCGTTTAGATTGCATACGCGAAAT